CTGTGCGCATTTAGATTCACTTTAAGCCCACGTTTCCGTATGTTCTTCACCAAGCTGCCTTCGGGGGACTTGGTAGGCTGTGGGAAGAGCCACGCAAAGATGGGTGGAGGTTCTCTTCGTTTGCAGGGCCTCGATTTTTTCCCTGGCTACACGGTCATTTCCTCGACCCAGAATTTTGGCATTCTGAAGGGCTAACGTGTTTCCTGGGGTCTCCGCAGTGTTCGGCCACCACAGATAGTAGGTCTATCCTTCCTATTGACCTTGTATATTCCGCAACTTGGGTCGACAGTCGTTTTCCAATCTCCTCAATGTAATCGACCTCGCAGGAATTACATCTGACTCGGTATACATTTGCGGTTTCCGCCTTACGCATATCCCTGTTTGCGTGTGAGAGAGACGTTAGTCGTACCATGGAATCTACAAGGCGGCTAGCAACAAAACTACAGCCGGTTAAACGCCATAGCGACACAGAACTGTATTGGCAAATTCGATTTGGTCGACGGCGTAGAGTATTTAAAATGCATATGCTCTTCAGTTTAATTGACGCTAACACAAAGCATTTCTTCACGACGTTATAATACTACCACAAGCAGCGAATTGACTGCGCATCCACTGCCCGACGGATGACTCTATAGACAAGTACTCTTGACCATACCTCAGGATTCACACTTAGACAAAACTGGATCATTTTCAAGTTAGTTAACGTAGTCTTGTGTCTGTTGCCTAGGCGCAGTACATACTATCGCCGCGTCTGATGAAATTGACCTTATTCCGATGCATTGGTCGTTGATTGAGGAATATGCCCTAGTAAATTTCATCCAGCAAGCTGTCCGCCACTTCCGCGTAAACTATCCGACGACACAATTCTAAGAATTATTTATGAAAAAAGCATACCTGCTGCTGGGCAAGCGCGACCAAAAACACTTGCGCGCCAGGTAGCATTGAGATAGAAATTAGTAATATTCAAACTTTTCTGAAAGTGGTTACCTAGAAAAAAATATCACTAAAAATCCCAGAGTGAAAATCAAAAAGTCGGCAATTTGTACAGAAATCTTGTAATACGAACTTTGCCTGTTTTCGCTGCTGTACAAGCCCACACATTTTATCCATAAACCTAGTTCTGTGACTAAAACTAGACCAATTTTCATACTTCTAAGAGCATGAATGTGCCATCAATGAAACAATAGGTTTATTAGCTTGAGCTCTCAGAATCGCCTGGAAGCCTATCCTCAAGGTTATTGAGAGTGCAACAAGTGAACGGTTTTTTTGGTCAAATTCAAAGAGAGGATTTGGGGCAGAACGGGTTCTATTACCCACAATTGGGTTGGGATCGCGCTGTCTCACTCACAGTGGTCCTATTAAATGGTGATGGCAGGTATCCTTGGCACGCGAGCTTAGCACATGAAAACAGCGCGTATATCAGCCTGTCCGTTGATGTAGTTAGTGTCAGACACCCAGGTCCTATCTCCGTTTATTTGCTTGCTCGCATCGTTATCCACGTGCCCGCGAAGTTCAATTAATAACTTTCTAGGATGTGAGTAGCGATTTGAGACAGCGGATCACCCCTCTGAGCCGTCCGTTTGTGTTAGAATATTTGCTAGTTGAGTCGTTGTTCGGTACGATCTGTATGATGTTAGAGACGGTCAAGGCATGGGATTTTATAAACTACACCGAATTGCTTACCTGCATCTATTCGGTCCATTATCTGCATGATTCTGACGCGCATGATGGCTGTCGAACGATGAGCGATATCCACGCCTCACTTTGCGCGAAATCGTTATATCGCTTCGTGAGTTTTCTTCATAAACGTCATAGGGTGCCAGAGTTGGCTTCTCTTCTGATTCTTCGTGAATAAGCCTGGAGCTAGCGGCTGAAGACGTTCTTTGAGTAGCTGTTATTTGCTTATTGGTCCCATAGATGTTGTAGCTCTTTTATTCGTCCTTCCGGTTAGCTGTAGTGTTCACTTACCCTTTGGAAAAGAGCTTAACACAGTCGCTTTTGTGCACCATTAGGTGGTTGCTATGATATCCGAGGATATTGACTGCGTTAGTCGTCTTTCTACACAGCCTCGTGTTGATTGCACCATTGGGGTTTCGCATGATGAGAACGTCGAGGAAGAGAACTGTCCGGTATTCTTCTCTTCTGAACTGGTTAAAATGGAAGTTTTTGTTAGATAGGTCCCAAAGGGGTTATAGCTTGTCCCTCAGTTATAACGAACGTGTCGTCCATGTATCGGCGCCAAAACGCAGGTTTTTATAGCTTAAAAGCTATATTCTCCAGCTCTTAGGACTAATTCTGCAATAAGGCTAGACATTGGGGAACCAGTCGGCAGTCCTCAAATTTTCCCGTATTTTCTGCCGCTGTTGCTGAAAAACGTGCAGAGTTGCATTGGGATTTTTAGAAGTCCTTCCGTTTCTTCGTCCTTCAAGCCGATTCTGTAGAATATCGCGCGTCAGGTCCGGTGGATTAAATATAAATAGGGAAAACAAATAAACTGACGCCATAATTTAGCTAGGATGGACATCTTTCCCCAAATGTCGCTTAAACATTGTTAGACCGAATCAACAGAGTTCCTTAAGCCTTCTCGAGGAAATTTTTGGGCCATATTCAATTCAGTAAAGAATGCCAACCAGTGCTGATCGACTAATTTTAACCTTGTTCCCATTTTTCCCGACGCATTTACTATTTTATACCTTCTCTTTTAGGCGGTCACTCTTCACACGGATCTCGGCGATATTAAGCTCGAGTTGTACTGTATGCAAACGCCTCTCGCCTGTGAGGTGAGCTGTCTACCTGTTCGTCGAATGCATGCCTATTTGCCACTCTCAACTCCATCTTTCCTCCGCTCTAGTCTGTCTTCACTGTCACGTTTACTATGAATTTGGAGCAATATCTGATATTAGCTCGTCGTTGTGCGTGCTTTTCCTTGGCACCAACCAGTCTTGCCCAGGCGCTCACTCTTCTGTCCCAGGCCTCCGCAAACCTTGAGAGAGTCTTCTATTGGAATAAAGGTGGTAGTGGGGGCGGTATGCTGCTTGTCCAATCGGCGTCGCACGCTTCTCTATCAAAGGCGCTTCAGTCGCTCTACCTCTATCCGCGTCATTTCTTTTCCCTATCAGAATATCAGTCTAAATTTCCCCTAGACAAGTCCAAGAGGTTCAGTCTTCCTCCTTACCGAGTCTGTTCAAATCCTTCCATTTGGCCGGCCTCCCCCTCTACGGATCTTTCTCCTCCGAGGGAGTTTGAAAGTCTGCTCCACTTTCAATCTGACCCCCTTTCTCCGTCCGCCCTTGAGAAAGCTCTGCTGCAGCAGCACTCGCTTGTAGAGCAGATGCAGTTTTTGGTTAGGAGCACCGGGCTTCCCCCACCTGCACGCCTAGCGCGCTTCGTTTTCTCCGACAGTCTACAGGAAATCCTGGCTAAAATCCGTCCTGGTACCACAGTCTACCCGTTTGGCTCTGCTATCAATGGCTTGGGATCGGTGACGAGCGATCTGGATCTTAGTATCGAAATGGGGCTTGATGTAGCCCCGGAGTTGCATGCACTCGCCGAGTATCACCGTCATAAAATGACGGTGGATATGGGTAGAAAAAGGAATGACATTCTAGGAGATTTGCTTCGTTTTACTGGTCAGACCTCCTACAAGCTTCTTACCCCCGTCCGGTTTCTACTCAATCGCCTTGATCCTCTGAGTGCACCCAGTTCACGTGTCCTTCCTGGGCATATTCCAATCATCAATTACTCCCGACACCGTGCCCTCGGTCTGGGTGTGGATATCTCTCGTAGTGTTGGGGGCGAACATAGCAGT